CTGTGTCACCCAGTCCACGACCAAAAGACAAGCGCAGTTTCTTCACATGTCTCTAGGCTCCATGCACCTCCTCCAGGTCTCCTGGCTCCATCCTGCTTCCTTCCTCAGTCTCTTCTGCAGCTTCTCTTCCTGCTCAGCTCCACCCTCCCTTGGGTGGGGCAGGGAACCTCCCCCTTTCCTGGGGACCACCCTGTTACAATCCCCCCTTTTAATTTTTATTCCACCATATCTATGGTGGCACAAATGTTAGGGTATAGTCTTAGGAGACAGTCTTTTTTTAGGGTTACAATGTGTGTAAGAGAAGCAACAATTAGTCAGCAGCATTGTCCATGAATGTCCAGTATGACAGTTTTTCATTACTTGAAAATAGTCCATTATCCAAGCCAAAAGAAAAAAAAAATTGGAGCGTTAGCTAAAACAAGACAGAAAATATATCAAAATCACAGGGAAAAAATGTTAAAATGGTTCAACTTATGCAAAAACACAAATTTTCTCAACCTTGATCCCAAACTTTTAACAGCAAAGCAAAAGTTTGCAAACTAAATCTACTTTTAAACCATTTTTCCTATTTTTGCATAAAATCACAGGGTAGAAATAACTAACAGCAATTTTTAGCTGGCTTTGTTGAAATACTCCACACAGGATCAGAGCGAACCGGTGGCATCCAGTCGATGTATGCTTCAGGTATAAAGTTGGTCTCATCAGACTCCACCTGGGCTTTCCTCTTCTCGAGGGTACCAGGGCTTTTTCGTTGGCCGGGTTGTCCAGTCCTGCCAATGGAGGCAAGCTTCCCCACCTTCTTTGGAGGTCTCTGGAACCCTACAAACAAGGCAAACAGGTTCTCCTCTTCTTGGTTCAGCTCTTTTTCAACTTTCTGGAAGAACTCCACACAAAGCCACACAATCAAACTCACGTCCAATTTTCGTTAAAACAGACAAAATCCCTATGGAAGTTATGCAAAAACAGACTCTGAAATAAGTAGCAAAAATTACTACCACTATTTGTATGCTGTGTTGGTATCAAGGGGAGAGAAAATGTGACAAGTTAGCTTTGCTGGAAAAAAATTACAACCTTTCTGCAGATCCTGGTTAGTCAAAACAAAACAAAACAAAACAAAAATTTCGTGGATTCAGGACAGAATGCATAAAAAAAAGTTCCAGTATTATGTCAAAGAAAACTTGTAAATGTCAGGTGTATTTCCAGGTCTATTCAGTCCTTTGTAGGAAAGTTTTTTTCTCTCAACAGTTCCATCAATAGGAATCTATTGAGACCTTTTCTCCCTATATTTCCAGAAACAATTTCTGTAGATGTGAAACAATTGAATTATACAATATTACAAGGTGACAATCACCACTGACAATTTACATACATACCCGATACTACTGTTAACATATTGGACATACCAAAGTTTTACCATTTTCCCAAGTGACAATGCTTCCCTTCCAGTTTTACTCCATTAGGTAAAAGCCAAATAGAACAAATTCATGTAATGCCTTCCCAGGAGGAAAAGGAGAAACTTCGTGGAGTGTCTCAGGAGCTCTACTGAGGTTCCACAAAATTTCCTTGCATCAGTCAAATGACAGGCCACCAAATTTGTACTTGAATTTAGATTTCTGGGAAGCTTTGCCATAAATATCAGAAAAGTAACAGAAACAACAATATTCAATCTCTATGAAGGCACCGGCTTAGTTCAGTAGCACAATGTTGACAATCAAACCATAACTTTTTTGTTTTTAACATAACTGGAGACTCTTTTTTTTTTTTTTTTTCAATGTCTATGGGCACCATGTATACCAATTTGTCAATCACTGGAGGTCAAGACAGTTAGACACAAGGACATACAGACATACAACATATAGACAAAGACAGTTTTTTTTTTTTTTAGTTATGCCACGTAGAATGTTATGTAACTGCAGTTTTACTCCATAGGCTCAGAAAAAAAATGTCAAAGTCCAAAAAAAAATGTGGAGTGTTGCTGGCAGAAAAATTTCCGGTTGTCATCCTGCAAACCTAAGACTTTGGAAATAGGAAGGAAAAGTTTTATTAATCACAAGAGTTACACGACCTTGTTTATCACATTAGGGTTTTCAGTGTTGAAGACTTTTTGTTAGAAGTCAATCCTGGGGTATTCTGTACAGCAGCTGAAAGAATAAAAATAACAGTTAACTTTTAAGCAAAAGGAGTCATCTCTTGTTAGCCACCAAGCAGGCACTCCTTGGGTTTCCTGGAATAGAACCTGAAAAAGCAAAATCAAATTATCAGTAATTAACTTTCAATTAAAAGGAGTCATCTCCTTACTTCTGTTAGCCACTCTGGGACAGAAGCTGAAAAAGCAGATTAAACATCTAAGCACAGATTACACCTCCCCCACACTAGGGAGGGGCAACAACAACACAGGTATGAAAACCTGGTACAGTTACATGATGCACCCTAAAGAGTGCTTTCCACAACAGACCTTCCTCAGTAGGAAGCAGAAACTTAGAATCTTGTCTTGCACCAGCAATTGGACAAATCCAGTATTCAAAATGGCAAACATGCCCAAAACAAATTGTGTAGACAAAATTCACAATAGCAAATCCTTCAAGACTCAGACAAAATCTTGTTAATTTTTCTGATCCAGACTTTGCAAAAATTCAAGTTATCTCCAAGAATCCATCAAGGATACCAGCGATTACCAGTTACTGATAAGGCTACTCTTTCCTTAACACCCAGGCATACATTTGCTAATTAAAACACCTCTGCTCCACAATTGGCTTGCAAAATCCATCAGGCAGAGAGCAGGAAGTAGCCAAAGACAAAGCAACATACCACTGAAGAACCATTATTGCCTTTAGAAATGCTAATGAGACAGCAGAGATTACAAAAAGAAAGAAAAAAAAAGTTCCAAGTGGCCTCAGACGCCATCTTTGATCTGGCCACATGGTCCAATGTACTGCCTAATCTTTTGAGTAAAACCGGCACAGAACAATTTCCACAAAATCAAATGTCTTAGCAAGTCACTACAAACAAATTACATACAGACACACAGATCTTCACAAAGCCCAAGCCAGTTTTTCAACAGCAAATTGACATATGAAACAAACACACCGGAGAAACCAAAAATCACATTTGCGCTTATGGTAGCCAGCGCCACAGGGAAGCCCAATTTCCCCATGGGGCTGACTAACCACGGATGGCTCTGTCCTAAATCACGTTGGGCGCCAAATCTGTTATAGGACAGGGAGAGGGTCAGCCCAAACCCTGCAAACCTGCCTATTCTACATGGGTTCTGCCATCCGCCGCATCAACACAAAACATAGGAGACTTTAATGGGAAGGAACTTTAATTAAACTAGGAAACAATACAGGTAAGGCAAAGAGTCTAGTTTCTAAATGAAGCACCCAAAGTTACCCATCCCCTCGTGGGTAAAAGTCCATCCATATGGGATCGGCCCAGAACAAGGCCCCAAAGTCTACCACAAGTCTAAAACATCTTCCAGTGGGGACCCACAGAAAAGGGTCACAAACAACTGGACAAGCCCGGAAGGAAAAGAGCAAAATCAACATCAAGATAAAAGCTGCCATGGTCACCTCCCCACGGGTCTCACCCACATCTGTGTCACCCAGTCCACGACCAAAAGACAAGCGCAGTTTCTTCACATGTCTCTAGGCTCCATGCACCTCCTCCAGGTCTCCTGGCTCCATCCTGCTTCCTTCCTCAGTCTCTTCTGCAGCTTCTCTTCCTGCTCAGCTCCACCCTCCCTTGGGTGGGGCAGGGAACCTCCCCCTTTCCTGGGGACCACCCTGTTACAAGAATACTCCCCGTTTTGTCTAAGACTAAAATGAAGAAATTGGATTTTATTCAGGGTATTGCAATGGGAAGCCCACTGCAGATATGATCAGGGTCATGACTCTCTGGTGGCTTTGCCTTAGACTTTCATAGGGAGGAAGACAAAATAATTTATAGTTGGGGTTGGATTGTAATCAGGAGACATTTCAATTAGGCGAACAGAAAATGTTTAGCTAGTTTCAGAGTTCTAAGAGTTCTAAGAGCAGAGTTCTAAGCTCACCGAATCATTCATGAGACAGGAGGAAGTTCCAAGATCTCGGTCTCCCCTTTGAGAAAATCGGGAAAAATGGGAAAGGATCTTTGACCCGAGCTGTCACAAACAAACGAGGTGGTGAGGTCGGCAAGCCTTTCGGGCACACGAGAAGTCTCCGGAACCGGAGTTCTTCGCGGCGACCCTTTCTGAGAATACCGGGTCGGGAGGTTTCTCCGCTAACGATGTCATGCGCCCCAAGGCTTCACCGGAGCATCTTTATGGAACCAAACCCTGTATTTCTTGCAACCGGCTTCTCAAGATGGAAATTAAGGGGTTCATTTAAAGAAAGGAGGAAGGAAAATGCCCAGAAGGGCGTTCGGGCCACGCAGCCAGCCGTGCCGTCCGGGGCCCGAGCGCGGCGCCGCAGGTCCCAGAAGAGGTCCCTAGTCCCCAGCAGGGGCCCTGGGGGAGCCCCCGGGCCCGAGGACAGCCCCGCCCCAGCCCCCGGGCGGGCATCAGCGGCCTCGCTGACTGGCGGGAACGAGGCAAAAAGCCGAACGTTGGAAATGAGACTCCCCAGGTCTTCATTTTTCGGGAGGTTAACAAGCTCCTCGAGCTGGGCGCTGCCGCGCCGGCGGCCAAGTAACACCCCCTCCGCAGGGCCCCGGCCGCCCTCCAGACACCGCACTTAACTGACGCCGGACGGCCGCGCCAGTGCTCCCAGAATGCTCTCTGCCCGAAGCGTCACCACCGTTGCGCCTCCTCATTGGCCGGTGCCAGTTGACCGCGCCTGCGCGCGGCCTTCCTCTGAGGGTCGCGGGCAGACGCCATTTTGGCCCCGGAGGCGCCTCTGGGAAGCAGCGCGACGGCCCGCACGCCCGCCGGTGCGTCCTTCCTGCCGGGCCGGGAGGCGCCGCGGCTGTCGCGCTTTCCCCGCCGCCCCGCCCGGGTCGGGCCTCAGAGCCGCCGCCGCGCCGCCGCGGGTCCCGCCGGGAGGAGGCGACGGGCGGCGCGGGCGAGGACAGGCCGCCTGCCATGGACGCGGAGTACTACGGCGGCGACCAGTCAGGTGGGCCGGGGCGGGGTGCGGGGCCGGGGGCCGGGCGGGAGCGGCGGGCGGGCCGGGGCCCGCCGCGGGGAGCCTCGCGGGGGCGACCGCAGGCCGGGCCGGCGCGCATGGGCCGGGCTTTGTGCGGACCGGGCGCCCCTCCGGCTTTGGGCGCCGCCGCGCGCGGGGCCTAGGGAGGGCCCCCCGGCGTGCCCGCGGCCGGGGCTACCTCCCGCTCCGAGCCGGCCGTGTGACGCCGTCCGATGCCGGGGTGTCCCGGGGTGCCGGACGGCGCGCCGGTGCGAGGAGCGGGGCGCGCGGTCCTGCCGCCTTCCTGCCCCCCTCGGGAAGTCCGGGCACCCCGGGGGCGAGCGCGTCGGCCGCGGCTGACCCCGCGGGCCGCGCCCCGGCGGGGAGCAGACATCGCCCTCGGCTGCGTTCACTTAGGGCCGGCGCCCGGCCGGGCCCGGCCCGCGCGGGGGCGATGGCGGATCTCCTCCGCGAATGCGCTGCCTGCGCGGGGAGCTCCCCGCCGCGCTGCCTCGCCCGGCTCGCGGTCGCAAGTGGGAGTGTGAGGTGCACCTGTTTGCGGTGGACGCTCCAAGACGCCGGCCGTTACCAGCTTCCCGATCTTCCTTCCACCCTACAGCTGTTTTTGGATATTTACCTCCTTATTCCCGATTTATGCTCTTTCCTGTTGCATCGTCTCCCGCTGCAGCAGGGTTTAGCCTCTGCTGTGCCTTCTCCTCCCCCATGTTGTTGCAGCATAATTGTTTCTTCAATTAAAACCTTTTTTATTAGGGCTCTGTAAATATTTTTCACTCTTAAGTAGAGTAGCTCATTAGTATGAGGTGAGTTCATTTTTTTCAAATTGGTTTTCCTGCAGTTAGTTGACTTACTCATTTTGTAATTTGTATTAAACTTACAACCAAGTCTTCCTATAGCCTCCAGCAATTGCAAATTTCTCTCCCTACAATGTGCTTTATATTTTTAAGGTATGGGTTAAAACTAAGTAACAATTCCTTTTCTTTTTTTCTTAATACCTTTTGGTAATACTATATGTTTTAATGAATTTACACTGTTTCTGAACTGGAGTTGCTTTGTGGTTTTCTTTCATAAACAAACACTGTATGTCATATCAGTCAGCATTCTGGACTCCATGGATTCTGCAGTGAGTCAAAATCACTGTTCTTTTGGCACTTTCATTCAAGTGAGGAAACACCCATATTAAACCAAATTATGTAGTTAAGTGCATTAGAAATTGATCCATGCATGCTGTGGCAATAGATGGTTTTCAATAAAGAGTACACTATTAGGTATATGTATTAGGTATATAAGGTTGTTGACTTGGTCCTAGTGAAGTTTCTTAAGCACGTTCCTTTTTATGATATATTTTTTGCTGCTACATAAGTCATTATCCTTGTTATGATTGTTAGTATTTAAGTAAGTATTGTAACTGTTGTCTTGTTCACAGCATTAGCATCATTCCTTATGCTTCATTAGCGGTAACCTTTGCTCTTACTCATTGTGTCCATTTCAGCTGTAAATGTCATCCATCTTACATCTTAAGTGGGTTCTTGTTTTATTTTTAAGCAGATGATGGTGGTGCTACCCCAGTACAGGATGAACGGGATTCAGGGTCAGACGTTGAGGATGATGTAAATGAGCAGCACTCCGGATCAGACACTGGAAGTGTAGAACGTCATTCAGAGGTATTGGCTAAATGACACCTTTGGGTATTGACCTTGCATTCTACAAGATCTGTCTTATTTAGGAGTGGTAGATACTTCCAACCCTGGGAACAAAGGGCTTGTAAATTAGTAGAGAACTGGGTGGGTGGGTGGGTGGATGGTTGGATGGGCTGGTGTGGTATGGTTATCTTATGAAATCACAAGGAAATGAGCATATATATGGGGGGAGGGGAGCAGTTTTCAACTATGCATATTGATTTAGAAAACTGGATCAGACCTTTGGTATTTAACTACATTTCCTCAGTCTCAAAATGTCATCTTACTGGGGCAATGAGCATTAGCAATCTGAAAAGATAGCAATTGAAATGAAAAGTAATAGAGATTACCACCTATCAGAATTTGTGTCTGGATTTGGCTTTCTCGAGTTGAACTCTTGCAATGTGTATAGTGTTTCCTAATAGTAAAGCAAGTGTAATTTAAAAGACTGTTTTTCCTTAACACAGGGTAGTATTGGGTCTTGTGAAACCGCATTTCAGCATATTTGACCTAAAACATAAATTTTTTGGAAAAAATGTTAATTTGCCATCCTGGTTTTGCAGACTGTACTGTACAATGTTAACAAAATAAAATTGGGACATTTTTCAGTTAGTGAGCTCTAATTCTTTGGTAAACGCAGTCACACATAGGAATGATAAAGATGGCCAGATTTTCTTCTAAGAACATACAGTGCACGTTTTGTGCACAGACAATTATCCAATTTTAAGTAATAGATACAGTTGTTAAGAGATTGTCTTTTGACATGACATTAGTATATTCATATATCCAACAAATATTTGTTAAGTATCTACTCTCTGTCAGGTTCTTTTGCCGTATAAGTTACTTAAATGAGGTCTTACTACCATTGAAATCCTTCTTAGGTTTATTTTCCATTAGGGGTAGAATTATTTTTTAAATTATTTTTGTGTTAAAGATGATAAACGCTGGGTCTCCCTGGTGGCACAAGGGGTTTAAGTGTCAGCACTATGAAGCTATGTGCAGCCGTTGCAGCACGACTTCGATCCGCAGCCAGGGAGCTAACCCACATGGTGCAGCAGACCTCTCCTGTCTTGCCCCCTGCTCCCCTCAGCAGTGTACTTCAGTCAGTCCATCTGTTCTGCTCCCCACTCTGTCTCTAGTGAATTCTCTCAAACTCCCCAACCCCCCAAATTCTGGCTTATATCCTAGCTCTTGTATGCATAAATAAATAAAATACATCTTTTTTAAAAAAGAGGATAAATGCTGTAGAGAAAGAAGAAAGAGCAGAGTGAAGGGTGCCTGGATGGAGATTGGGTTTTGGTGTTAAATAGGAAGGTCACATGCAGGCATTATTAAGAAAGTGATATTTGAATCAAATGGTGGAAGGAAGTGAGGGAATTGCCATGTGGGCTAGGTAGGAGAAATATATTCCAGGTCAGGTGTGCCTGATGTCTTCAAAGAACACTGAGGAGCCAGTGGGGCCAGTGTGGAGTGAGTAGGGGGTGGATGAGATGAGAGGCGGAATGGACTGGGAGAAAAACTGACCTAGGTTTTTTAATGTCTCAGTTTTTTGTATACTAACCATTTAGAGTAAATTCTATTTAATGTGATTGAAGGGTAGAGATTACTTGGAATGTAAACATTGTTACAGTATATTCAATGTTGCAGTACCTTAAGTCTCTGCTTTTGAAAACAGAGTCAGGAGATTGACTCATGGCCTCATGATTCCGTTATAAACATGTGGGCTTACCTTTAAGCATCTGCAGTTACTTTTTGGTAATGAAATGGATTCTAAATAAATACACGTACATGTTGTTGAATATTTGAAAATTAAAATTTAAAGAAAAAAATAAAATCAACATATTCCTATCACTGAAATGACTGTTTTTTTCTCCCTCATGTATATGACATATATATATACATTTTAAGTTACTTGAAATTTTACTGTGTTTTTTATCTGCAATTTTATCTCTTAAGATGATATCTTAAGTATTACTGTATGTCATTAAAAATTCTAAGCATAATTTTTAATGGTTGCATAATAGTTTATAATGTGGATGTATCATTGCTTAAACAGTTTCCTAATTGTTGGTATTTAGAAAATTTAGGTATTATAAATGAAGCTGCCATGGGTTTTTTTTTTTTTTTTTTTTTAAAGATTTATTTATTTATTTTATACAAGAACCGGGGTACAGGTCAGATATGCGGGAGGGTGAGAGGATTCACCAGAGACAGAGTGGGGAACAGAATAGGCAGACCGACGAAATACACTGCTGAGGGGAGCAGCGGGCGAGACAGGAGAGGTCTGCTGCGCCATGTGGGACCCTCGCCAGCCGGCCAGGATCAAACCAGTGGTGCAGAGGCTATGGACAGCTTCACAGCGTGGCGCTCAACTGCCTGTACCACCAGGGGAGGCCCTGCCGTGGCTATTTTTGCACATATGAACATTTGTCCTTTTTTGGTTTCCTTAGAAATCTGAGAGAATTAACCAGGATTAAGGGTGAAGACATTTTAAATCTTTTCATAGCTTTTCCATCCAGGACGATTATCCTAAACTGCTAGTAGTTTGAGAGTGCCCTTTTAAAGTGTTGAGTTGTGCATTAATGCCTCTTTGTTTAAAATTACTTCTGAGGAGGGCTCTTGAATTGTTTTCCCATTAAAAATATTCTTTAGAAACTAAATAGTACAGTTGTATTAAATGAAGAATGCATATTGATCAACAACCTAAAAGATGTACATTAGTTTCCTATTGCTCCCACAATAACTTGACACAAATTTATTTACATAGAAGTTTATTATAATTCCACAAGTCCGAAATTAAAAATGGGTCTCAGTGGGTTAAAGTTGAAGTATTACCAGGGCTGTTCCTTTTCTTCTCCCTTTTTTTTTTAAAGAAGTGGGGTACAGGGCCTCCCTGGTGGCGCAGCGGTTGAGCGCTGGGTTGCGAAGCTGCCCGCAGCCTCTGCGACGCCGGTTCGATCCCTGGCTGCTCCCCGGCCACAGGAGGAGGGTCCCACATGGCGCGCAGACCTCTCCTGCCGCCCGCTGCTCCCCTCAGCAGTGTACTTCGGTCCTTCTGCCTGCTCTGCTCCCCGCTCTGACTCTGGTGAATTCTCTCACCCTCCCACGCTTCTGACTATACCCAGTGCATGTGTAAACGAACAAACAAACAAACAAATAAATAAATAAAAATAAACATGCCTCTAAAAAAAAAAAAAAAAAAGAAGTGGGGTACAGGCTAGAGTTGCAGGAGGTAGAAAGATTCACCACAGAGAGCTGGGAGCAGAACAGGCAGATGTACCGAAACACACTGCTGAGGGGAGCAGCGGGTGAGACAGGAGAGGTCTGCTGCGCCATGTGGGTTGCTCCTGGCTGGCCGGGAATCGAACTCGCGCTGTAGAGCCCTTGGACAGCCTCACAGCACTGCATTCACTCAACCCCCTGCTCCATCAGGGAAGCCCCCCTTTTCTCTCTCTTTTTTAGGATTTATTTCTTTATTTATACAAGCACTGGGTACAGTCAGAAGTGCGGGAGGGTGAGAGGATTCACCAGAGACAGAGTGGGGAGCAGAACAAGCAGACTGATGAAGTACACTGCTGAGAGGAGCAGCGGGTGGCAGGAGAGGTCTGCGCCATGTGGGACCCTCGCCTGGTGGCCGGGGATTGAACCGGCACTGCAGAGGCTGCGGGCAGCTTTGCAGCCCAGCGTTCAACCGCTGCGCCACCCGGGAGGCCCACCCTCTTTTCTTCTCTTGAGGGAGGATTTATTTCCTTGCCTTCTCCAACTCTATAGTCCACTACTTTCCTTGACTTGTGGCCCTTTCTTTCACTGAACCTCATTGCCAGTACCAAAGCATCTTCAAATCACTGGCCTCTGCTCCTGTCATCATATCTCTGTCTCTTACTCTGACTTCCCTAGCTCCCTCCTATTAAGCTGTTGTAATTACATTGGGCCTATTAAAAAATCCAGAATATTCTTTGTCTCTCAAGATCCTTAGTTATATTTGCATAGTCCCTTTACCATATAAAGTAACATTCACAGGGTCCAGGGATTATGACATGGACATCTTTAGGGAGGGCATTATTTGCCTACTACTAGATGGTATTTATAGCATCTTTTTCTGAATAATAATAGTACTGGGGAAAAAACTTTTTCTCATTTGCATTTTAGACTTTAGGCTAGTTTTTAAAGGTTCATTTTACCTGTAGTGTTTATTCTGCCTGCCTGCCTTTAAATCTCTAAAGAAGACACATAAAACCCTCCTTCCTTTCCCCCCCCACACTTTCTGTGATAGTGGTCAATATTGGGATTGCTGATAAAATTTGGAGACAAGTAATTTTTGCAGATTTTTGTACTACTTTTAATATAGACTGTTAATACTTTAGTTATTGAAAAATCTGACATAACAGAGCAAGTCTTCTGTCTGACAATCTTTTTTTTTTTTTTCCAAAGATTTATTTATTTATACAAGCACTAGGGTACAGTCAGAAGCGCAGGAGGGTGAGAGAATTCACCAGAGCTAGAGCAGAGAGCAGAAACGGCAGATTGACAAAGTACACTGCTGAAGGGAGCAGCAGGCGGCAGGAGAGTTCTGCGCGCCTTGTGGGACCCTTGCCGGCAGCCAGGGATTGAACCCGCGCTGCAGAGGCTGCAGGCAGCTTCACAGCCCAGCGCTCAACTGTTGCGCCACCAGGGAGGCCCTCTCTGACAATCTTAAAATGAGAATTTATTTATTGAAAAGATGTATTTTTATTGATTTATGCATACAAGAACTGGGGTGTAAGCCAGAGATACTGGTGGTGAGAGAATTCACCAGAGATAGGGTAGGGAGCGGAACAGGTGGGTTTACTGAAATCTACTGCTGAGGGGAGCAGCGGGCAAGACAGGAGAGGTCTGCGCCATGTGGGTAGCTCCCTGGGACTAACTAACCCCTGCACCCCCAGGGACGCCCAAAATGAGAATTTATTGTAAACATACACAAGATATAGGAATTCTAAATCATTCTG